CAGAGGGGGGGGGGTTCAGTTTGACAGATAAATCAATAGATCCTAACACAGATGGGACATGACATGAAAAATCTTTAAAAGACCAGACAGTTTGAACAGCTGGGTCTGAGATAACAGTGGGGGGGGGGACAGGGGGGGCACAATCTGGGTAGTTGGGGGTAGATCAATGACAAGCTTGTTAACCTCTGTGTCCGTTCTCCAATCAGGTGAGAGAGGGAGAATAAAGGAGTGGGGGGAAGAGGGAGAGAAAATCACGAGATGGGAATCTCTGACCAAAACAAAGGTCTGTGGGAAGACGACGTCCATCAACACAAAAATGTCTGAAAATAAATCAAACCTATACAGTATTTAAGGAAATGTAATGATCTTCTAGTTTTCTATTTACTGGCTCAGTGTTGGCCTGTTTAGATCAACACCACCCTGAGGTACTCACAGGAATTGAAGAAAGAAACACAATTGTCCTTCATCCACCCTGCGTCTCCTTTTTTTTTAATTACATTTCCATTGCTATTTGCCACCTGGTGGAAGAGTTATCTGTTATGTCTGTCACGATCTCAACGACAGAGGGAGTCATCGACCTGGGTTCGATTCCCGGGCGGCTCACACACTGTCTGTCTTCATTTCAAATTGTTATCAACAAAGTATTCATCCATCTAATATAGTTGGACCTCGCTCTACTCTGCTTTTAAAACTCTTCAACTCCATCTACTGTCTGAGTTGTGTAGGTGCACATCAGTGAACATTAGCTCTTTAGTTTTAAAATGTGTCATACGGTCCAGTGCGTTTCATGAGTCACATGACCGACAAAAAACACTTAAAATTATAAAATTGCCACAGGAGTTTATTCCAATCATGTCACTGCAGCTAAGTGTAGGATATTTCTGTATGGTAAATATCATCATTTTATTTTTAATTTATTTTATATGTCGCAATATGTGAATTTTAACAATTCTTCTGTGATTACAGTGTAGTTACCGCTAGAGGTCACTGTGGCGCTCATAAAAAAGTTGTCAGCGCTACAGCTGCGCCTCATTCTTTCCACAAACGACGATGAACGTATTTTGATTCAACATACTTATTATGCTTACACTATTATTATTATTATTATTATTTTTAATTTGAAAAGTGAGAAACAAACGAATTCAACAGGAAACTAATGATGACTTTTTATTTTAATATCAAATGGAACCACAGGAAACACATCAGGATCAGGGTTAAAGTGATAGATGAATAAAATGTCACTGCAGGAAACTGTGTTTTGTGTAGTGTGTGTGAAGTGTGTGTGTCACTGTGTGTCAAGTTACAGTCAGGTCCTAAAGATAGGGACAGGACAGGGGTGTGTTGGGTGAGGAGGGGGAGGAGAGGAAAAGGGGAGACATGAATAATTTGGTTTCTCAGATGTTGGAAATTCATCGTCATCATATATTTTTTCTTTGTTTTTTTTTTTGTTTTTTTACAGTACACTGTACAATCCATCAGGACTTTCGTTTTTGTTTTTTTTCTTTGTTTTTTTACAGTACACTACAATCCATCAGGACTTTTCTGGTTTACAGGAACTCGTTATTTTTTCTGTATATCTGGAGAGAGTAAATAGTTTAAAAACAATTATGAACCACGTTTAAAAAAGTGTCCATTTCACACGTTTTCCTTTGTCTCTCTCCCCTCTCTCACTCTCTTTCTGGGTGACCTTGTCTCCATGTGACGAGCCTCTGTGTCTTTGACTTTTGGAGCACAGAAGAAGAAGAAGAAGATGATGATGATGATGAACGAGAGGGAGAAGAAGAAGAAGAAGAAGAAGAAGAAGAAGAAGAAGAAGAAGAAGAAGAAGAAGAAGAAGAAGAAGGGTGAACGAGGACGTGAGGAGGGAGGAATGAAGAGAAGAGGAAACTAGGGGAGGAAACGCGGAGAAAAGGGAAGCGAGGGGGGGAGAGGTGGTGGTGGTGTTGGTGGTAGTGGCGGTGGTGGTGGTGGCAGCAGAGGGGGAGGGAGAGGAGGAAGAGGGGGGAGACGGAAAGAGCAGAGAGCTGCGCTGGATGTAGCTCAAGCTGTGGGCCGGGGGCTGAGCGACCGAGCCCGGGCTGCTCCGCGGAAACATCCATGGGTGGCTGTGTCGGGAGCCACCACGACTCTTCCGGCAGCTTGAACGAGAACTCGGACGGTACCGGAGGGGAGCTCTGGCGCTCCGCGCCAACGAAGCTTTTTAAAGGAAAGAGGGGGAAAGAA